TGAAGAAGGTCGAGTTTCTGTTCCCCGGGTTCTGGGAGAACTAGGCCTTCGAAAAAGAAAAGGCGTTTGCGGTGAAATAGAGAGAGTGCTGTTCAGAAGCGCTGCTGCCTGTAGTGGCGGACAATGAGCTCATGTGTTTATGAATTCCTCTGCATATAGACTTGACAGTACATCAACTGTACTTATGCCAACTAGATTCCTCTGATGAGATGCGTTTGCGTAAGAACGGGTGTTCAAGGATGTGGTCGTGCCACGGGATCCGTCTTCGGTTTGTGTGATGAGACTCAGCCATCAGGCGAGGCCCAGAGATGCTGCAATGTGCTAACAGCGTCGTGGACCCTACGAAAAGTGACAATCATGGGCTGTGGCATTGTTTATGTACATTCTTTACAGCACCTGCTTCATGGGTGATAGTGCTCGGGAGCGGCACCCCGACTTTAACAACGCCATGGTGCCAGGAAAGGGGTCCAAGCGGTGGGACTGGGCCGAGAGCTGTTCGTCGCTTTCTTGTCAAGCGTGCCAGCTTGATTTGAATTCGACTTCCAGAACTACCTTACTGTTACTTGGAAGGTCCAGGCACTATAATCTCGGCTGTCTTGCGAGCTGGCGGTTCGAAATTAACACACCGTTACAATGAGCGGGCGTCGGCCTCCTCAGCAAGGCAACCGCCCCTATTCAGTCTTTATGATGTTAGGACCTACTGCATATCCGGCAGCAAGCGAGAAATTGGGTTTCAACTTGGCAAGACTAGGATTCTCCAAGCCGCATCTGCCCCGTTGCGTCGGGTTAGAACAGCACTGTTTAAGTACGACCCACAGCTTCGATATCGACACAATCTCCTATCTAGAACAGCAGAGTACCCAGAGACCGAAGCAATCACCAAGTGTCAGATAACAAGTCTGAGTCAATATGGGCATACGTTTCCATTGAACCGGTTGTAACCAAGCCCGCAGAATATCCAAAAGTCTAAATGGTCTATATGTGCAACGCTGAGTAACGAATGAGGATATATTTATAAATCACATTTTCATGCTTCAAAAGAAGACGCTGTGGAGGAGGTAGTCGATGCCCGCCTCTCTGTAGTCGTCAACCTCGGTGTAGCGGAGGTTGTCGCGGCTGGGATCGAACACGAGGTTCGTGGGGTTGGCGCCCGAGTACTTGGGCCACTGGACGGCGTCGACGTTGGGGTCGCCGCCGTGGATGAAGGAGACCCACATCTTGCTCATGAGGTCGGCGAGCTCGACGTACGATTGGGGGCGGCCCTCGAAGGGGTTGGGGGCGTAGCCGCGACCGGCAACGTTGTTGAAGACAAAGGCAACCTCCTGGAAGTGGGTGGCGCCGTAGATGGGGTTGGGCAGGCCGTTGACAATGGCGTTCCAGTGGTAGGAGTAGACGGGCAGGCCGGCGGCCGAGTACGTCTCGGTCAGGAGCCTGCGGCCGGCGTGCTGCTGGTAGTCGCCGGCCAAGGCGGCCGAGCGCTTGAAGAGGGTGCCGAAGGGGGATGCAGGGGGGCGGCCCTCGTAGAAGGCGGGAATGCCAACAGCGGGGTCATCCGGGTACAGGGAGGAAACACCGGCGGCCTGGGTAGAGTTGAGGCCGAGAGCCGACAGCCACGAGGCCCAGCCGTCTTCGTTGTTGATGCCACTCCGAGCGTAGGCAGTGCCCTCGTCAAAGTTGGTGCCGGTGAGGAGGGGCACGCGAGCGAACTTCCCCTGCTTCAGGAGAACGGAGGCTTGGGCGCTGATGAAGTCGCCGTCGACAACGGCACTCAGGGTCTGGGCGGCGACGCTCAAGGGATCGCTGCCGCTGAAGATGCTGTTCAGCGTCTGCCAGGGAAGAGCGCGGAGGCAGGCCAGCTTATCGGCGGCGGAGGAGCATCCGGTCTTGGCAAGGAGGGCGTCAAAGTACGGCTGCCAGTCGGCGGCACCCTTGAACACGGCTGTAGGGCTACCGCTCTGAAGAATGGCGCTGCGGAAAATGCCGTTGTGCTTGCCGTCGTAGGCGATGAGCTGCATACCCAGGGCGCGAGCACCAGCAGACTCGCCCCAGATGGTGACCTTGTCGGGGCTACCACCAAAGGCGGCGATGTTCTTGTTCAACCACTCCAGAGCGACGCGCTGGTCTTTGAGGCCAGTGTTGCCGGCCTTGGCGTTCTTGAGCTCCTCGCTGAAGAGGAAGCCCCAGAGCGACAGGCGGTAGTTGATGGAGACGGCCACAATGGGCTTGCCCTCCTTGACAGACTGGTCCACGATCTCGGTGAGGTTGTACCTCGGGTCACGAGAGCCACCCTGGACATAGCTCTGGAATCCGCGTCAGTGAGATGATGAGAGAGAGAGAGAGAGAGAGAGAGAGAGAGAAGACGTACGCCACCGTGCACCCAAACACCGACGGGGAGCTTGTCGCCAGCCTTGACACCCTTGGGTCGGACGACGTTGAGGGTCAGGCAGTCCTCGTTGACCGGGCTGCCCAGGCTGCTCGTGTCGGAGCCGTACCCAATGCACATCCATCCATATTCGGTGGCGTTGCGAACGCCCTTGAAGGTCGTCTGCAGCGGCTTGGGCGAGGCGAAACGAAGGGCACCGACGGGAGGCTGGGCGTAGGGGATACCGAGGAAGTAGTCCTGGTCGGCGGCATCGTTGTGAAGGCCAACGTAGGCGCCCTGAGCTGTGTGCGCCGTAGGCACGCAGGTTGCTGCAGGCGCAGGCGCAGGAGCTGCCAGGGCCAGGCCCGACAGGGCGGCCAAGACCAGGGTGGCCACGTGCGAAGGCATGCTTGCTTGCGAGGGACGCGGGAAGAATGACGGGCAGAAGGGACGTGTCTTGTGCAGAAGAGAGGCAGATCTCAGTTGACGAGAAGCGCTGACCACATGGAACCCTCGTGGCCTCGAATGCGATGCCGATCACCTCGCATCTTTTAAAGAGACTGGAGGATCAAGCATCCTAGGGTCCCCGCATCGAAGCATGACGCAGATGGCAATAAATTACGTTGCCCCCCATGTACGTGTACATGTATTGCTGCGCTTGCGTGATATGATCCTGTACCGACGGTAGAAAATTTCCGCGGATAGTCCGAAGGCGAGAGCGACATGGGCGGCATGGAAGCTTGACCAACGTTCCCCGGTATAGTCGGCATGTCTTCTGCATCGGGTATGAATAGGCCGCCGGTCGTTCGTATTGGACAAAGAAATACAGAAATCCTGGCCAAGTTGCCAATGGATGCAGGTGGGGGGGGGGTCTGGGCTTCAAGGATCTTGGAGTTAGGGTTAAGTTGAATGCCGACATGGGGGTGGGGCAGAGGGAGGGGATGAAGGATGGAGGAGCCAGAGAGGGAGGGGACCTTGGACCTTGGACCAAGGGACCAAGGGAACCTCAGGTCAGGGTCACATGATCAGGAAGCGGGCCCTGAATGGCTTCCTCAGCACGAGGCGAGGCTGCGACAGTCGAGCCTCTCCACTTGTCCTGTCCTTACGTATCAAGTCTGCCTACCTGCCACCGGCATCATTACCATCCTACCTACCTACTTCAGGCAAGGTGAGGTGGGTTGGATAGTAGATGGCCCGGATGGAAACCGAGAAATAAGGAACTAAGCTCACGAGCTAACTAAGCTCACGAGCTAGGCACAACAGTGAAAGTGAGTTGGTCCCCTCGGTCTTCTCATCCTCGGAGCGAGGAGAAGATTAGAAATGCTCCCGCCCTGCCAACGGCCCGGCCCCACCTGCCATGGACATATACACGGTGATGAAGAACTCCAGGCGAAAGGCCAGCACGATTCATTCACGCGGATGCGCGGCGCAACAATCCCCGGCTCGCTCTGATGCCTAGGCCAGCTATCTATCTAGGTCCAGGAGGCGGCGCCGGCTCCTGACTCGCCAAAGGTCGCCAAAGGGTCCGATCTAAGCGATCATGGTACAGGTAAACCAGTGGCAATACGACGTTGCAGCACGAGCCCGTGCTGATCGAAGCCTTCCCGCGGCCCTTGCCCAACTACCTAAGCAGAACGATGTTACCGTCGAAGGGAAGAGAAAACAGGCTATTTTGCAGTGAAATTGCCGTTGCTTTGGGGAAAGGCACTGCAATAATGATACACTCGCCGGACGAGTCGCCCTTTTCGCTCTGCCACATAAACTGTGCTGTCACCCTGCGGTAAAACACCCAAGAGCACCACAGCCCCTGAGCTAAGGTGGGAGCTGACTCGCAACGCTCACGCCATTGACGACCACTTCAACTAAGAACGCCGGCGCGGTCATGATCTCCACCCATGGGCACATCGTTCCACCAGCAAGGCTTGATGGCCGTTTTGCGTACTAAGTAGATTTCTGCGGCTCTTCCCCGACTGCCCGACGGCTGCGAGAACAGACACCCAGCCCCGTGCCATCCGGCGGCGAGAGATAAGGCTATGAAGCGGCGCTACGAATGACATCCAACTGTCAAGGCAAAACTAGCAAGGCACGGTTGATGGCGTGAGAGTACTGTACATGTAAGCCGAGACAGTGGCCACAAGTGAAATCAGCATTGGCCGTCAAAGATCCATTCACATGGGGATCGACAGACACACCCCCGAGAACAGTTAGTTGGTGGCCCATACAAAGCTGATGAGACGAGACCAGGCAGAGATTCCATACTGAGCTGAAGCTTCTCTCTTCTCTCCTGGGTCGGATCCTTCGAAGCGAGGGAATCCCCGCCGCCCCCCCCTTAGTGTACCATGTAGACCGATGATCCTACCCAGAAGCTCTCGAACCTCAGATGGTCTGATGTATCTCATCTTTGGCCTTGTGATGCGCGGGAAGTTAGGAGCCGACAAGGTGGACCATCACGGACCAGGGGATCTGGGGCAGAAGGATCCTTGGTTTGTTAAATGCATCGACAATCCCCACAGCGCCGCCCACACTCGCAAGGCCTCTTGCCAGGTCTCCTTGCTGTCCAACATCGTCGTCCCCTGATCTACAGTCTTTCCTCCTCCGTGCTTTCTTGCATGCATCCGCATGCTCCGAGCATATTGCCATGGAGGATGATAGACGCACACGCCTTCTCGCGGCGTGCTGGTCTTTGGCCGCCGCCGCCGTCATCCTGCTCTCTCTCCGCCTGTACTGCAAAGTGTGGCGAGGAAGAGGTCTCTGGTGGGATGACCACCTCTTGATTGCTTCTTGGGTATGTTGCGTCCTTCACTTCCCTGCTGAGCTCCTTGAACGAACGGTTGTCCTGTGCTGTTGAAAGCCTTGAAATACTCATGCGTGGCACCACGGCAGATTTCCCTCGCTATATCTTGCTCTGTGCTTTCGTACATCTGTTCGATCGGTTTCGGTACGAGGCGGGCAACAATCAGCGATGAGAATCTCAAAATCATCAGTCTCAGCACCATCATGGTGGCTGCGTTTGGAATCATGGCCACGACGTTTAGCAAGACGTCCTTCGCCATTACGCTTTGTCGCATTTCGACCAACCAGTGGATGAAATATCTTCTCATCTTCATCATCGTGACGATCAATGTCTCCATGAATCTTGTTTGGATCTTTGGCCTGGTCAAGTGCACACCTTTCGCCAAAGTCATCGACGGCAGCCACCCGGGAAAGTGCTGGGATAGGCAGAAACTCCTCAAATTCCAGCTCTACGCTGCATGTGAGTTGCAAGATGATATATTTGAACGAGCTCGACCGGCCCGTCATACTGATACCGCCACAGACTACTCTGCTATCCTCGATTTCATGCTCGCCCTGCTTCCGTGGCAGATCATCATGGGCATGTCCATGCGACGGCGTGAGAGGCTCGGTGTCGCAGTGGCCATGAGCCTTGGTGCCATGTGAGATTGCCGCCCTGTTCCGTTGCCGTTCATCATTGCTAACGCCATTGGGGGTAGTGCTGGAATCACAGCAATCGTCAAGGCGGTGCTCGTCGTCAACATGACGAGCACCGACTTCACTTATGACCGCGTTGACCTGACCATCTGGACCTTGGTGGAGCCCGCTGCCTCCATCATGGCCGTGTCCATCCCCGTGCTGTAAGTCAACGCCCCAGCCTGGCCCCTTCGCACCACATGACACCATCGTGCTGACCCGCTCAACAATAGGAGGATGCTGTACCACGAGCTCAAGACAAGCCACGCCAGGTCCAAATACAACCGAAGCAACCCCTACGCCGGACAGACAGGCGCCGGCGCCACGTCTTCCGACGCCAAGCGCGCAACGCGGCAGCCGCACAGCAAGTACGGCCAGAACTCGGTCGTCATCATGTCGAACATTGCCTGGGAGGAGTCGCAGGAGGCGCTCCGGGACCCCGAGACCAGCGCCCGCTCGCCGAACCTCAGCGGTGTGCTCAAGACGGAGGAGGTGAGGGTCGAGCACGAGAGGTTGAGCACCGTGGGCGACGAGGACTCGATAGAGCTCAAGCCGTATGCCGTCAGCGCGACGGCGATGAAGGAGGAGGGTGGCGGCAACCGTCGTGCTTCGTAGGGCGTATATTCTAATACTATTTTCTTCGTTCAGACATTTGTCGCGTCTTCGTTTTCGAGGCGTCCAATGGTGTAGTTCTAACTTTCCAGATGGATTAATCAAGATTAAGGGCGCTCTTGACACACTTACTCTTGGCAGCCCTAGCACGTTCGGGCTGCAGTCTTGAAGGTTATGGTCAAGGTACCTAGGTATGCAGGGATACGCTGGGTCTGCCATGAGCTGGGCACTGCAGTAGGACCGTCCATGGATTGATAGAAGCTGACCTCGTCAACATATGAAATGCCATCACTATCATGATTCTACTGGTGATTTACTAGATACTTCTTTATGAAGTGTCACTGTTCATGTTTGATCTGCTATGGGGCCGTAACGCCCGCGGCAGTGATAATCGTGTCTACTCGTGTCATGTCCCACCACACCCCAGGCACTGCTGCTACACTCTACGCTGCATGGAACCAGTATGCTTCGACTCCTTTCATCCCCGCGATGTGATGCTACCCAGCCGTTCAACTCTCATCGATACAAAATTCACATCAGTAAATACAGCGCCCGGACGCCTTTTTCTGCCGCCGCGATATGCCATGGCCTCACGTCCGTCTCCCTATCCACCATGCCCCTGGCCCGTGCCAAGGTCCCAAGGCCACGGAAATAGTTGAGCATCTCCCTGAGCAGGGCTTCAAGAGCTCGAGGGTTCCCATCTGTGTATACAATGTTGACCTCCATGACGACTGGGGGGTCCTCAACCTTGGTTCCACCCCGCTTGACGAGGTAGCCACTGATGAGAGAGGTGCTTAGCTCTCCGGGCGCGGTCGAGTTACCCAGTCTGTGGGATAACACGGCGCCCCAAGTCTGGTCGGTTACATCGACGAGAATTGCGTCGCCCTCGGCTGGTTCTGCCACATCCGCCCCACCTGGCGTACCTGTCGGCGTGCTGGCATTTGCCTGGCTGCCGTCTTTCATGGGTGTCGAGGGGGTGCCGATCTGGTCCGGGGAAACAGTTGATGGCTGAGGGGTGGAAACAGGGGTGGTGTAGAACGACGTCGAAGCTGTAGGCGGGACCTTGACCGCTGGAGGGACGAGCTGCAACGAAGGGCTCGTGTCGACCGTGATGAGCGTCAAGCTGACCGATGCCTGCTGCTCCGTCTGGGCCAAGCCTACCCAGAAGTCAATCTCACTTTGGTCCATGCACCCGCATTTAGTAATGATGATACGCCAGTGCACCTTCCATCGAGAGATAAGGTCATGAGTCGTCTCCCAAATTTCATGTGTGACTTCGTTCAACGAACTTGACAATGACTTGCCCTTTCGACCGAGATTGTATGACGCCGTCATTTGCTGACTCCCACGGTTGTCCGTCCAAGCTGCCGTGATCCACCTTTCGTCAACGCTTTGTGCATATGCTATGTGAATGCAGGTATTTTCGTGCATAAGCGAGGATGACCCTGTGTTATTGAGCCTGAAATCGATGTTCCGCGGCAAGGTATGCTCGAGGAGGATGGCAGGCGCAGGCATAGGCCCCCCAAATATGGTGCATCGGTCGTATGTCTCCAGCGCTAACTTGATGAGGTCAATAGGTAAAGCCGTTGGCATTCCAGAGACTGCTGTCAAAAAATCCACCGGTAGAAGTTGCAGCACCAACTCGTTTGATGGAGCAAGCCTCTTGTCGGCAAGGGCCTTCTTATGCAGTTCGAAGAGCTGCTGGAAAGCTGTGCAAGCTTCGACGATCGACTCTGGATGACTTGGTATGTAGACGATGAAGACAACAAAGTTCTTCTCACGAGCCTCAAGGGAAAGCAGACTCTGGTTCAGGCTGTCCATGCGGTCAGCCAAGCTTGAGCCGTGCATTGCTCCGTCAACCGTTGGTGTGCCAGTCAAACGTTCTTCCTCCCACGGCACGAGCCCGCCTGTTGTATGACCACTCTCGCCGTTGACAATGTCGAATCCTCCCAGCTTCAGGAACTCATACGTGTTCCTTATGCGCCCCAGAAACGTCGTGGCGAAATCGGAGAGACCGTTTAAATTTGGAAACACGCAAGCGGCAGTAATATTCTTTACCCCTTGAGACGGGCCCAGACCAAGGGTCTCCCAGAATGAGATGGTCGATGGCAGAACAGACAGCTTGGAGTCAAGGCGCCTGATCTCTAGATGAGGCGGAGGGATTTGGAATAGATAGTTGGGCTTTGGAGGTTCAGCGTTCGGATCTCGAGGAGGCACTGGTCGAGGCTGAGCTCTACTGGGAGGTCCAAGGAGGGGGACATCGGACGCTTCGATCAGCTCTCGGAATCGACATTGAGTTGAATCTCCCAGAGCAGCAGGTATAGCTTGCTGCAGTACTAGAGATAATGTTCTGGAAAGAGATGCTAGTTGGCGGCGGGTTTCGGGAGCGACAGGGGAGTTAAAGGTCGCCGACTGTGCATCACGCAAACAGAGATTGCCAGAAATCGCCTGTTCGGTGAGAATCTGAGCAACAGTGATGATGTCGTCATCTTGGAGTGATAGCTGGCTCAAAAGAGGCTCTGGATCGTCAAAGTATTTCGCAACAGCGACTTCAGGAACCTCGAACCTGGCAATCCTAGGCAACTCCAACGGCAAAGATGGATCCGAATCCTCCACTACGGATTCGACATCTCTCAACGACGTCACGTGTGACACCATGTCGTCCTCAAGATTCAGTCTCTTGGTGCTTGCCTTGAAGGGCGAGGTTGGTTCCTCCATCAAATCGGGCGATTCGTCAACGTCGGACTCGAGGCTCATGTCATCAGCGTCCGAGGACAGCTCTTCGATTTTATCCGGGCTCGCTTGCAGACTACTGTTTTCCAGGCCATCAGTGATGCTGCGGATGCGCGCATTTGTGTTGTCCGTTCGAAAAGGTTTGCGATGCAACTTGCTATGTCTTCGTAGGTAATCTGTAGTTGGAGGCTTCTTGAGGCTGAGGCTCGTGTCTGATTGTGTAGGTGTCCATCGGCAGGCAAAACGACCTCCTTGCTCGTACTTTTTGCTTGCTAGAGGAAGTACAGGATCAAACTCGATGCTGTCAAAAACGCTGCCTTTGCGTGCTGTTACTGTAGAAGGGCTTCCAAGAGATTGGTTGTTGAGACGGCCGAGAGACGCCCGAACCTTCTTGAACACGGTGGCTGGGTCAAAGGGGCTAGGCTCTCGCTTGTTGCTAAGAGCCTTTGAAATCTCACTAGTCGGGCGTCCCCTTGTCTCGTCATTCAGTGTGCTCCGGGCGTGTCGGAGTTCCGGCTTGGTGAAAATTGGCGCTTCCATCTTCGGTTTCGTCTCCTCAGAAATCTCGTCAATAGTAGGTGGTAAGATATCTGCTTGTGACAAAACTGGCTCAGGCGTTGTCGTCGGGAGGCTCGTCATCGTCGTGTCAGGCGCAGACATATTGAGGTCCAGAGGATTATTGTCATCATCTTCATCGAAGAAACTGAAGTCTGCGTCCGTGATGTCTGTGTCGCCAAACATGTCCGGGCCCATGTCTCCAAAAAGATTGCCATCCCCCTCGAAAGTCGAATCAACTCGATCTCTCTTAGTGTCGGTTTGCTCCCAGCTATCGGGTTCGGTATCTGCCATGACTACCGCGTTGACCATGGGTGCATCGCCATCTACAGGCGCAGCGACCGACGAAGGCGGCCCAGGGCTCGAGGTTACGGCATCTGCCGCTGGTGCGGTGAAGATGCCAAGTGGATTCTGAACAGCGTCCGGCGGCGTGGGATACATGGCGCTGGCGGCAGCAGCATTGGCTGCACGTCTAGGGTCCATCGGAAACTGATCAGTTGGCTGAGGAGCAGCGGGGGCTTGGGCTTGAGCCTCCTTCGCAGAGGCAACCGCCTCTCTTGCTTTGCGTCGCTGAACAATGCTTTCCTCCCTCTCAGTGCCGGACTGAAACCAGGTCTTGACTTCCGTCAGGGAGTCGGCTGCCTCCTTCGATGCCAGCGCTATATCAGTCCTTTCGCTCTGGTTGGCCTGTGGATCCACAGATCTCTTTCTAAAACAAAGAATCGAAGGCCATGAAAAGATCATAGGCGGTGACGAATTCCGCACCGGCGTTCCTCTGCCTTCAGCTCGAAGGTCTACAGGCTTCCGAGGAGAGAGTTGAAGTGCGACCCACGTACAATTTTGCAAAGTATGCCCGGATAAGCCCCAGCCTTTCAGCATGCCGGTGCATATCTCTCTCCATTGTGATGACTTTGCGTCTGGTTCGGGCCTGGGTCGCCATAAACGTGTGTCTGGTGTTTGCCCAATAGTGTCAGCATAAGGCAGAGCACCATTCGCAAGTCCCATGTAGCTCCCGAGAACTCCAAAGGGTGCTGCCAATACTTGACTAGACAGAGCCGCCTGGCCTGTACCAGGAACTTCGTGCATAGATATCAGACCTTCACTCAAGACCAGCGAAAAGCTTATGACCAGGGTGCCGTTGGTTGTCAGATAGATCCGGAAGATTCCAAGGACAGCTGTCTCGGTCCCTGAGGCGTTCTTCGACTCTCCCTGTCGAATGATCTTGGAGTTCAACAAGATTGTACAGTGGTTCAGCGGGATAGCGGCTAAGCTCCTACAGATTGGCGACGATACAGTGGAAAGCATGGCGCTGATGAATTGCTCGTACGCGATCTTGACAGTAATGTATATCTTGCCATCTGATGACGTTATTGGCGTTGGCTTTCCCTCAGGATCAGAAGAGCTAGGCGTGGCCGTATTGGTGTTGTCGAATGAAGAGGCATTTCTGAGCGTTGCATCGGGCACGGAACCATTGAAAGCAGGATGGGTCGGTGTGTTGGCGGCGGTTTGCCTTTGCCCAATAGGTCGGCTCTTGAAGAGGTGACCGGGTTCGAAGGACCCTTCATCAGTGAGCACCAGGTTGAAGCCAGCTACGTCTAATGAATGGTCCAAGGCACCCCCCTCCTCAGTATGAGCTGTCGGCTGCGTCGCATCGTGTCGTGGGATATAGAAGTGCCATAAGGCGCGGCGACTGGTGTCGAAATGTGCTACACGGCCAGCATCTCGAAGCGATTTCTCGATAGTTGGTGCAATCGAAGCAAATGCTTGCGCCTGCTCGGGTGCCGGTTCGTACAGTTGATAAGCGATTGACGAAATACCTTTCTGTGCGAGAAATGTTAGCCATGCCAGATGTACAGCAACCAGCAAGCGGGCCCTTACAATCAAGAAGATATTAGTGCCATATTGGCTCGTGTCCATGTCGACGGTGTGATGCGGGTTCAAGGTGTCGATTTGGCGACATCAAGATCCCCGCCGTGACTTGCGTCTCGTCTCTGCGGTTCCTCCAGGCACAAGTAACCCTATGAGGGGTCACTCATGCAGAACGAGACTTGGAGAAGACGGATTCTGTGCGAAAATTTGTGTTTGAAATGTGTGTAGAGGGTTTGCTTCCGAATCGATTCTTGGAGACGCCCGACGCCATCTCAGCGAGCCGAGTCCAAGCCGAGATGGATCGAGGTAGACCAGCAAGTTGTCCGGGCTCAGCAAAGGGCAGAGTTGAGCAGAGTTGTCGACGGAATGCTGTAAGTTGTTATCGTATCCGTTTCAAATCCAATTCATGGCAATGGCTGGGATGATGGTGATGCGCCGTCGAGGGTCGACGTTCGCGAGCTGGCTTGGCTACCTCAGCGAGCTGAGTCGAGAGGATGGTCACGTCCGCCGCGCGAGGTACGGCTTGAACTGCGACTGGAAGGCAGGGACCATTTGCAACGAACAGCAGACCCCTGTCCTCCACAAACTCCACCGCGCAGCGGAGGAGCCCGCATCATTGAGACCGTGCTGCCAATCACCTCAGACTTGCAAAGCTCGGTCAGCAGAGCCGCTAACGCATCCTGACCCTTGCCATGAGCGGGGCCTCACCGAGGTGCACTTATCTTATCGGAAGTTTTTTCTACAACCCGAAGGTCGTGGCTGGTCCCTCCGCAAAATCTGGCTAGCTTTGGCAGGTGAACTTCTCTTTCTGTATAAATTTTTGCGACCTTGGGGTTCAACACCATACGTCTGGTGATAGTCTATCGTCGACATGAAGCTCACGAACCCGGGCACCGTCCCGGTTTACACCATCTCCGGCGCATCGACTGCCAGGCCCCTTCCCGACTGGCTGGCGCGCAGGAGAAAGCGATCGCTGAAGAATGATCTCGAGTACCAGAATCGTGTTGAGCTTCTGCAGGATTTCGAATTCGAGGAGGCAAGCAACTGCATTGCAGTCAGTGAGGACGGCGAGTGGTCGGTCAGCGCAGGAACATACAAGCCTCAGATCCACGTCCACACTCTTTCGCAACTTTGTCTGTCTTTTGCACGCCATACCGAGTCCTTGACTGAGAAGCTCGCCATTCTTTCTTCCGATTACTCCAAGACCCTCCTCCTACAAACCGACCGACGACTCGAACTACACACACCGATGGGACTTCACTACGGCATTCGCATTCCCCGATATGGCAGAGACTTGGTCTACGATAGGCAATCAGCCGAGGTCTACGTTCCTTCCGTGGGTGTCGACTCAGACGGGTTCGGCGAAGTGTTCCGTCTCAACCTTGAGGTTGGAAGGTTCATGAAGTCGTTCCAGGTTGATGTCGGTGGGGACGAGCCTGGCGCCGGCTTGCAAGGAAGCATTGGCGCCGGCAGTGTGAACACGGCGGCCATCGCCGAGAGATCACACGGACTGGCTGCGTTTGGCACATCAATCGGCACTGTCGAGTTCTGGGATCCGAGGTCAAAGTCGCGTGTCGCCCTTCTGTCCAGCCAAGAGGGTGGCATTACAGCACTTGACTTCAGCAGCTCTGGGCTGTCGCTAGCCACGGGTTCCGCGAACGGCATGGTGCAGCTATTCGATATGCGCCGACCTATTCCCCTCCTTTCCAAGGATCAAGGTTATGGCTTCCCGATCAAGAAGTTAATTCACATGACGACCGCGTCTCAAGAAAAGAAGGTCATGTCGGCGGACAAAAGAATTATCAAGATCTGGGACGAGCTAGATGGCGAGCCGTTCACTTCCGTCGAGCCCATCGTGGATCTCAACGACGTGGCCTGGTGCAAAGACACAGGCATGCTTCTCACCGCCAATGAAGGTTTGTTTCAAATACAAAGTCTATTGATCCGAAAGCTAGCTGACACTCCCGGCCAGGCCAGCAGCAACACTCGTTCTTCATCCCCAGTCTCGGACCCGCCCCGAAGTGGTGCTCCTTCCTCGACAACATGGTTGAGGAGATGGCTGAAGAAGTCCCCACGGAAACCTATGATAACTACAAATTCCTTACCCTCGCCGAGCTCAAGTCTCTCAGCTTGGCCCATCTCATCGGCAAGACCAATCTGCTCCGCCCTTACATGCACGGTTACTTTGTCGCCTCGAAACTGTACGACCAGGCCCGCCTCATCGCAAACCCGTACATCTGGGAGGAGGAGAAGACGAAACGTATCAAGGAGAAGGTGGAGAAGGAGCGCGAGAGCCGCATCCGCGGCAAGAAGAAGGTCAAGGTCAACCAAAAGCTCGCCGACAAGCTCCTTCAGCGCCAGGAGAACAGAGAGAAGGTGGATGTCGAGGCCGGCATGTTGGGCGACGACCGTTTCGCCAAGATCTTCGAGGACGAGGCGTTCAAGGTCGACGAGACGAGTCGCGAATACCACCAGCTCAACCCCAGCAGCACACCATATGCGCGGTCTGGAGCGCCTGTCAGGGATTCTCAGGGCAAGGAGGACGATTCCAACGAGCCTTCCCGGCAGCCGAAGCAGACCCCAGCGGATATTGTCATGAGGGTTTCTTCGTCGTCCAAGGGCAATGGCCCGAAGGACACAGCATTGGGGTCCCGCTCACAAAAGTCGGGCAGGGTGTCCAAGGTCCGCGGGGATGTTGTGGGCGAGCGACAGGTCAGCTTTGTGCCGGCACCAAGACACAAGAAGAAGCCCCAACAGTTCGATTCGGAGCCGAGGGAGAAAAAGTCTGGTCCGAGGAGGAGCGCGAGCTCCAACACTTTCAGGAAACTCTAAATTCAACGCCTAACAAGAATACCCAACGGCCATGTTTTACACAATGGAGGTTCCTCAAAAGCTCTCTGCACCAGGCTACCGTCGAGCTGCTGAGTTCGTGAACGCGCCAAGGGACAGGTGAATCCTGACAGCCAAGCTTCCCTTATGAGCCCTATTTCCTTCCCCACTTCTTCTTGTCCTTCAACTGCAACTCTATCGCCATACCCTTCTCCAGGTCTTCGGGCCGGAGTCGAGGAGTCGGCGGTACATCATCAAGCTTTGTACGGCCGCGGCGGGACCTGCCGAGGGAATCCTTGACCTCTTTGGGAAATTCGGTTCGACGAGGTGTAAGAGCTGTGACAACCTTACGCGCCGACCGGCGAAGGTTTTCTCTGATTTTCCACTCGCGCTTTTTGGCGACATAGAAGAGAACGGCCATTCCGACTGTCATGCGTCAGAGCTGCGGTTTCGCGTCTGCCAAAATGGAAGGAAGACTTACTGCCGAGGGCGGCGATGATGGAAACCACAACAATGATGGCGATCAAGGCCTCTTCGGAGATGCTGATTGCACCAGAGCTGTCGCCAGAGGCACCAGCCTCGCTATCAACGGCATGATCTGCGGCCCCGGAGTTTTCCTGACCGCTCGCACCATCACCGTTATAGTAATCTTCGGTGGCGAGAGGGAAATCGTGCGATGTTTGGGATGCCATGATGTATCGGCAAGATGTGAGGACAAGGGTGTAAGACTTGGATGTTTGTATGATACCGTAACGAGGGGACGGTTGGTAGACGGCCTTGTCGAGCAATTTGCACAGCAAACCCCGTACGACAAAGTAGATAGATGGAACGATACCCGGTGCAAACGAGAGCGGCCCAGCTGTCGGTATATACAATCCAAAGTCTTTTGCTCAAGCCGTCGGCTCATCCAGATGTTCTTCAACCAAGCCAGTCAACCCCATGTCTGCCATGCGGTCACTAGGTGCCCCTGACCAGCCTGTCACCCCACCTCGTTCCATGTGATGGGCGCATGCAGGTCTCTTCCCACGTATCGTCCCCGAGACGATATCGTCGCTTTACTCGTTTCGTGAGAGGATTGGCTCGTAGACAGTGCTTGTCGAGACAAGTGCCAGTGTGCCGTGATGCGTTCATTGGTGGTGGTGATCACTCGAAGCGCCGGCATGCGGCGCCTCTGGGCATGCACCCCTGAAGGGACCCACCAATCAGCAGATTGGTGCCTTGATGGGCGCCTCCAGGATTCAGACGTCGTTCGCTTTTTCCGCCGTCACATCTTTGCTCACTCATGCACCGCCGAATCAGTGCACGCGAGGAGCATGGCGAGCTGCAGTCCTGGCGGGGTTTCTTAACGGCAGTGATATCGCTGGCCGATCAATAGCGCCGGTGCACGACGTGGGCAACGGGCACTGCACTGCTTTTCTCAGTGTGATGGGCTGTTGTGATGGGTCTAACGACGTGCTGTCGCCCTGCATCTGGCTCCGAAGTCATCACAGCATTGTTGTTGACCTTGTCACACCGTTAATGCTGGTACAACTGACTGCGCCCTGCCTTCGTCCGATGATAGAGTTGATATCTCGCTCGTTCGGCAGCTTTGGACATTTTTGGGCTGTATCATTTACCGCCCGGCTCGCTGGCTCCTGGAGACTGGTAGAGCTGCTTGACACGTCAAAAGTGTTGCCAAGTTTGTGTCCGCCCACACGATCCCTGTCTTGTGTGCTGATGAGCGGATTGCCGAACCGTGGGAGTGGTCACGACTGGCAGGAACATGACTGCCGAGGGCCGCATTGTTGCAGTTACGCCATTTCGCAAGATGCAGTATTGTCTGCACTTGATCAATGCGCCTGTACACGGCGGTGGAATGGAAGCAGGCGCATATGACAGTATCAGTCATCATCGCTTCCCATACATAATCTTTGACAGTCATGCCTGGATCGAGCATCTGCGTACTTACCTCAATACCTTAGGTACCTTAATCACAGCTTTCGGTATCAACATTGGCAAAAGGCACCCAAAGCAAGTGCAACGGCCCAATGCTGTGGCCAGCAGGGTGATGAGATGACGGCAGCGTCACCCCACATGAACGTCCGTTTGGCAGCAGCTGCCCTTACCATTATCTGAGTGCTTGCCGTCTACACTGAAAACAAAGCGGCAAGTGCCTTACAAAGGCCGATCTTGAAATTGGCAAGCAAGTGGCAGCTTCCTCTCCTTAGGTACTTCCTCCTCAGTCATTACAAATGGTTGCAAATATTGGCTTTGGGGTGCTGGAACGTGGCTTCCCTGACAATCCGCGCAGGACGAAGACGAGGAGTGACACCAGGATTTTTTCCACTCTCGTGATATGCCCTCATCTCCAGGGTCAGGACTGTTCCTGAAACCCCACAAGCCTGGTGGCCATCTCATGTTCTCGTCAGGGCCAGGGTTTTTCAATCGCGACGAAAGCATCATCAGCGTCGACACCAGCATTGGGGGCTCTTCTCATTTGACTTCAGCCTCTGCCTGTCTAAAAGGAGCCTCGCAATCCCCAATATCCAAACAGGCACAGGTCACACCGCCAAGCACCCAGGGCCAGACCTCGGAGTCGTCGGGTCATTGTTCAAATCACTTGCGTCCGAACACATAGTGTCGTGGTTTGTCGTTCCCTGTGCAAGCAGAACCATGCTGTCGCCTTCGCTATTGGGAGCTCACTGTGGCCCTGGCCCGACAGCTAGCCAGGTCAGTAGCGATGTCTCGAAGAACGCCTCCGTGATCCCTGGATCATCAGATCGCAAGGCTTCACCAGTACAGCAATGTGATGAGGAGATAGAAGAGTCTATTCTGGTGGAGGACTCTCAAATGAAGTGTCCCAGGACGGCCCAGTCCAACGATACCCCTGGCGCTGTTAACACTATACCTGGTGGTTCTGACGGCGCCATCGAAAAGCAATCCCTGAAAGCAGGCCAAGTGAAGCGCTTCACTAAGCCAGCTACAAGCCTGGAGTCTGTCGTGGACGATACCGGTTATTCGTTCCAGGCAGCACCCTCTTTTAGTCGGGACCAGTTCTCTGGACCACAAGCTAAACCATACGTCCCCACAGCTCAAGATGAACGCCAGCCAAAAAGTAACATCTCTGCGGCTCAAAACTCGGGAGTTGACTTCATTGTATCTGATCCACAAACCATGGGTGTCGATGAAACAACGCACTTGACCACTGAGCCTGTTGCTGGCCAGCCTGCACCAGTATTAATGAAGACTGTGGTAGAACACCTACCCTCCGACTCGTTCACACGGCCCCGGTCACTCAGCTCCCCCAAATGTATCAATAAGGCTCCTGAGCCACGCGAGGAAGCCCTCGCTCCAGGTGTTTCACGATACTTCTCGGGTTACGGCAGCTCAGAGGCGCGGAATACGTCTCGGCCTCTTAGTGGCCCCGGATTACAACCCAACAGCACAGAGGATCATGATCGCCACCCCAACTTCAGCGCTGGCTCCCCTCTCCAGCCCACTGAGCAGTGCTCGAAAGATCGAAGTATCCATCGGGATGACCATCTTCATAGCATCGAACAGCAGACGCCATCCATACCAGAGACCAATAGCAGGAGCCTCAAAATAGCAACAACTTCAACAAAATTCAGAAACTCGGGTGCCAGTACAGAACATAGCGATCGGCTGACTCGAGGGCGAGTCGACCACAGTCCGCGTGGTTACAAACCAGATGTTCAGCTGCATCATTCTCCAGGCCGGATGCGATTTCCACAGAATTGTCCAGATACACCCGCCCCCCCAGAGGCTGCTATGGCAGATTTGGCGATGCCTAGTGCACGTAAAATGAAGAACGTTGACTATGACAGCCGCCGTTCGGGTCACGCACATCAGACAAGTCGCCCTGTGTGTTCAATCAAGCCTTCGAGTCCATCGGCCTATTCCGCAATGTCAAGAGACTCCAACACTTCGAGACGTCGAGATTCAGCAGTTGAAAAGAGCAAGTACCGCTCCGACAGCCGAGCCGAAATGCAGAAGACGTTTGCCGAGTGGACTGCTAGACTTGAGGACTCCGAGAGGAAGGAGAAGAAGCTAAGTGCTAAGTTGCAGCTGCAAGCCGCCCTGATGAGTGGGAAATGCGATACTATTGAGCGTAAAGAGGCCGAGGTCGCAGCAATGAGAGAGCGGATAGAGGTTGGGAAACGCCAGTTAATCAAATGTGGTCGTGAAAGGGATTCTATCGCCGCAGATTACGACCAACTCCATGCTGATACTCAGGACCTCCAACAGAAATACAAGCAGGTTCAAGCCGAGGTGAAAGAGATGCAATGTAAAAAGGCTCAGGCAGATGAGGAGGTTCAAAGGTTGAAGAACGAAATTGAGGAACACAAAAGCAGGTATGGCAAAATGGCAACGCGACTCGCAGACTACAAAATGCGCTTCAACGAGGCTCTTGACGAGCAGCAAAGGTTCTACAGGCATCAAAAAGCCTTCGTTGACCGAGCGATCCTGGACGCTGAAGAAATGAAGCGGAAGAGTCATGATGAGAGTGAACGAGCCATTGCCAGAGGAGAGCTGGTGCGCGACGATCTCTCCAAGGCTCTTGAAGCTTGTCGTGCATTTTCACGGAGAGAATCTGACACAGGTGAGTCGTCAATGAACTCAAGCTCTAGAGTCCCCTGGCTGAAACACGTAAAGTCAATGCCACGCTCAGAGATATCGAGGCAAAGCTACAAGATACTCAGCAGCAGCTTTTGCAAGAAGTGGAGAGATCAAACAACCTGGAGAGTCAGCTCGACGACCAAAATCAACACGACAAGTTATCGGAAAGTTTTCGAGCGGGGATGGAACAGATCCTAGCGCAGATAGCGAGTGACAAAGAACTCACAAAAGCCGAAGAATCTGATCTTTTACTCAAAAGGCAAGGTCATGACGCTTACAGAATAGAAACTGGGCTGACCGGGATACAGAGTGGATGAAATACTTGCAGCTGTCTCCTCACGCGACCAAGAGCTCCAGCGCCGGGATGAGATGATCAACGGCCTCACAGCGGTGCTCAAGGGGCATTTCGATGAGCTTGGAGCTGCGCTACGCACAACCAACACCAGTCAGGTGGATTTACGACATTCAATGACCCAATTCCAAGAGAGCATCCAGAATCAGCTCAGTACGCAGTTGGAAGGACACTGCTTTCGCGAGGCAGATATGCGCCAGGAGCTTATTGAGATGGCTGAAGAGAAGACTCAATGTGCGACGCTTCTCGATGTTCGATACCGCCAACTAAAAGAAGTTGAGCTTTCGCATGAAAAGAAAACGGAAGAAGCCCAAGGCCTGCGCCTTCAGATCGCGAGCCTCGAAAGTACTGCAAATCAGGAAGCGACTATGGCGGACGATATCGCAGAGCTTCGACAGGCATTGTCTAATAAGGACGCCCAGAGCACCATCCTGCAGCAGCAGATTCAAGACCTCAATGTAACTCACCAAAACGAAATTGCTCTTCTGAAAAAGAACATGGAGCTTGAAATCTCTAGGCTGCAGGAAGAGGCTAACGTCAAGACATTGAAGATCTGCGACATGGAGAGCCAACTGCGAGACCAGGCTGAAATGCGCCAAAAAGACACTGGAGACATCAAAGAGAGTCTTGCGAACATCCATGAGAGTTTGCAGCAGAAAAGGGAGGAGCCTCTTCGTTCGATTGTCAGTGACACTATCGATGCTGCGATGCAGACGGAGTATCGCGGGACAACAAATAGCGGATGCGACGTTGTTTTCGAGGATACTATCGTCGTGCGTAGCGACGTCCGAAATGAACAGGACGCGTCTCCCAGGCATGTTCCTACCCTAGAGCAAGATGCAACAGCCGAGACAGCAAGATTACGCAGAGATCTGGTTGACGCCGAGCAGCGAATCGCCAATCTAACTCATAGGCTAAAGAGTCCAAGTCAGTCTCCCATGGATAACAACGCTCTCAACAGGCTCAAGCAAACCAACAATGAGCTCTTGGTGGCCAAACAACAGTTGAGAATACTGGAGGAGCGTGCAGTAGATGTGGAGGGCATGAACGAACAGTTCCAGACAATGCTCGCGATACAACGAGTCCTACACCACACGCACCAGTCTTGTTTGGCAGAAACAGAAGCAGCCGAGACAAGGATGAGCAACACTGTTGGCCCTGCTCCTGTTAGACAGTTCGATTTGGAATCTGTAAGCCTCGAACATTCCAAGCCACGCGGCGATGAGCAAAACAGCTCTCAGCACGACCATGACAACGATGTCTCCCCTACGGCGGTCGTCGTCCAGCTCCGCGAGAAACGTATCGTGCTACGGACACCTAGTCAATCAGAAGCGTGCGAAGCCCTGCAAAAGGTGTCCAATGACGAAGAGCGCACACAGAGAAGAGTTATGGGACCGACAAAATCGATACTGCGTCGTCGCCCTACCACTGACTCGAAGGTGTTTGAGCCCATCTCAGGTGGCCCGTTTAAGTTCACTCCAGCCATAAGGAAAAGCGGGCTCCCCTCAGGCCTCAGGGCATATGACCAACCGGTGGTCGGGCACGTCAAGACTTTTGACCATGTCGCTGACAATCGTGCCATGACAAGGTCGCTCCAAAGCAGCGCGATGGGCCACCATGCAAGGTTCCGAGAGTCTGGCCTACTTAGTCCCATAGAACGTCAGCGGCGTGAGCTGCAAGCCCCAGGCCCGAGCTTGCAGGCAATCAAAGGCAAGCGGCCAGGACAGTTCGAAAGCGTCACAGAAAGCAAGAGACCACGGGTGGACGATGACATCGAAGATGTAACGGAAGCAGAAGAGGTCTCCCGTCACTTTTCGACCAAACCCGGCAGCTCTGGCGCGACAGCGGGGCCAAAGTTGTGTCCAGCAGAGCAGCGTGATCGTCCGAGAAAGGTGACGAAGACATATTCCAAACTGAATCCTGTCAAAGAGACGATGGCCGTTTCTTGATCGACTGAAGCTGTCATTTTGTTGTGGACGTGTTTCGGCGGCACAGAAGCGCTGGATGAGTAGGCATCTCAACAAGACACAAGTTGTCGGGCGGCATGCCTCGAAGTCTCTCTGTACTTGTTATCATTCTTTTCCCTCGGATTAGATTGGACGCAGAGGTCAGCCAAATTTGGGACGATGTGGAGGCGGGCTTATTGTATGCTACAAGGTGGCGATTCTCATGCAAAGATTCTATCCATTGCAATCCATTTGTTATTCTTTCTCTAGAAGAAATACTCCTTGAAGAACTGGTATTGTTGGTACATCGTCTCGTTCTTCCCTCCTCACGCATGACTAGAGAGCCGTGGGAGATACGGGCGAGCGCCCCGTGATATCGTGTCATTGTTGGTACATCTGTAAATACTGGTCTCGACTTTCAAGGCTTAGGCGCGTCTACCTGCCTTTCCGCTTCTGCTCGAGGAACAAGACTTTCCTCCTGACTGTAGTGTTGTAATTAGCGTTGAATATTGGAAAGCAGGCCGTTCGACCGAACGGGAGAGGCTCGTCGTTGCAAAAACGCTTTGTGTCGGGAGGCTATGCGAGCGATGGACCCAAGACGGGCAATGCAGAAGAGGAACAATGACAGACGTACTGATGGGATCGTATTTGAGCATGCTCATCGGTGAGGCGGTGCGGGTGCGGTTGAATGTGTAGAAGAAGCCCGTCATGGCCATGGACAGGAGGCGGACGGTGATGACACGGGCCTTGGCTGTGTCGGGCGGGCGCGTACGTTAGCCTTTGGACGCAGTCTTTGCTTCCGATCGCTGGAGGAGGAGGGGGAACATGTGGCCTCACTCTTCTTCGCCATCTTGGAGGTCTTGTTGGACGTGGGGGTGGTTGGCGCTGGTTCGGAGTCGTGAGGAATTGAGCGTGCGCTCCGGCGTACGATGGGGTTCAATGGCGTCGACGTCTCGGTATCGGGAAGTTTTTGGATTCGAGATTCGACGGGAGGAAGGACGGGCCGATGCTCAGTATGTAGCAGCTGCTGTCAGCTGGGAGCTCACGGAAAGATCGCATGTCCAAGAAGTGGAGCTGCAGCTGGTACGTGCCTGTCGCTCTACATGGTACTTGTAATCACGTCTTTCTTGAGTGGTTGCTAAAATGAGCTGCTCCTCCAAAGCTTTAAGGATCGGATCGGTCGGTCGCAAAGGTGAAACCGTCTCTGTACCTGACCTTGGACCAAACCTGGCAACAAGAATTCCACGTCTGGATCATCACGACCAGTTACCCTGCTGCTATTTCCAGTCCCATAGCAGACCGAAACCCGCAGCGACAGTTACAGTTGCACGGCTGGCCCCGCCTTCCATTTGCGTGATAGAGCCTCGCCTCGCCGCTGCCCGCTCCGTGTCTATCGCGCTTATAGACGTTTCTTATCAAACGAACTGGGGGGAACCTCTCTTCTCGACCACAGGCCCCCTCCTTGCCAGACCAGCCTGACTCTCGTCGACCCCCTAGTACCTCGTGGCTCGTGGCCCGGCGGGACTTTTCTGACCGACCTGGACCCTAATTCATCGTGGTGTGCTCTGTTCCGTTTTGGTCTGGGCCTCAACAGAGCAAAAGGATCGGTGAGGAAAGACCGTGTGTGAGTGTGTCGCAGCAGCCCGCAATAAGAGACCAGTCTTTCGCCCTTCTCTTCTCTTTGCTTACTCCCACTCTTCTCTCTTGCCTTTGCCCTGCGACGCGCATCAAGCCTCCCTCCCCCGACGCATCCAATCGACTCGACCGCCTGCATCCGTCATGGCGACCGTGTCGTCGTCCGCGACTCGTCAGTCCCTCGCCGCGCTTGTGCGGCTGCGACACGATCCAGGCGTTGCCTTTGCTGGTCATGTCAGACTGGCGGCGGCCAGTCGCAGATCGCTGTGTCTGGCACACTCGCGCCTGCAAGGTGAAGCTCCCCACTTTCTTTCTCTTACGTTTGAGCACCTGTCGACATTGATCGAGCAAACAATCCCCCCCCCCTCGCACGCCGACCCTTCATACGCAGACCCCTCGTACGCCGGCTCCACGTTTTTATCTCGAGTGAGCTATCGCGTCGAGCTAGCACAATTGACTTATCGCATCCATCGAATCCATCGAATCCATCGACCACAGACCACAGGCCAGATCAAGTCACAAAGCCCTGCGCCTTTGGAGGCTCTTGGCAATCAGCAAGCTGTGTATCGAGAGAAGGAAAGCTATGACTCAAGCTTTCGCCTTGTACGCCTGTAACCCCCAAAGATGTGTACCCCCAAAAGTGGCCCCAAACGACGCCTATCCACGACCCTCGCCGCCTCGAAACTCTCCCCGGCTGCCCCCCCCCCCCCCCTCCCCCCGAAACCGGAGTTTGCTCTTGGGGCAGGGATCCAAGTCAGCGAGGTAGCTCCAGACCAAAGAGCCGTCGGACCAAACACGCGGCAGACCGCCCGCCGGCTGCCCGGTTACCATCGCTCGAAGGAGGCTGTTTTGGCACTTGCAGCTGGGGAACTCGGGAATTGGACTACCCTGATCCATGACGAGCAGATACCGCGGGTCAGGCCGGTTGACCAGTGTCGACGCCGCATCCCGCGTCCCAAGCCCGACAGGGCCGTCCGTGTCTTGCCATGACCAGGCTTTCTACCTGCCTGCCAACATTGTTGCCTACTCGCATCAGGTGCAGTGCTTCAGGTGCTGTGGGAGAACGGGTCATCAGACGACACGACAGGAATAGTGCGCTGATCATCCCGCTCACACCCGCCGCGTCGGTTTCGTGGGTGGCATGTTTGCTGTTCACACGGCCCACGGTCGAGTGTCATGGCTTGGTTGGGCCTTGTCTAGAGTCCTAAGTGAAGCTTGTTCCTGACATTGATTCCCCATGCCCCCTTCAAAACCCATGCTGTCCGCCACGTCGTTTCCCCATCTGCGATTGTTGCACTTTGACTTTGCTATGCCGAAGACTTTTTGCACCCTGATTCACCCGTCTCAAGAAGGTAACAGCCATTAGTGTGGCCATACGTTTCCAATTCACCTCCACTATTACCTACAAATTGCTCAGTCTCTGCTCTCCTAGCATACAAATAAAGCGGATCCGCAGGCGGTCTGTTCGAGTCAGCCTGTTAACTTGAATTTGCGACGCTTTCTAGATACCCCGCGATCTTCAACACAGATTGCCCCGCCACGCCGAGCTCACCACCAACAACCTCCCTCGACGCTTCCGTTCGAGAGTCGCAGCAACAGCAACCAGCAGCAGCCTTTCCGACAGCAGCGACGCGTCATGTCCACAAAGCCCGGCCCGCGCCTGAACGCGCAAAACATCAATCCCAATGTCGTCGCCGCCCAGTACGCTGTCCGCGGCGAACTTGCCGTCAAGTCCGAGGAGTACCGAGCGAAGCTCGCCAAGGGCGACAAGGACCTTCCTTTCGACCAGGTCATCTCCGCCAACATTGGCAACCCCCAGCAGCTCGACCAGAAGCCCATCACCTTCTTCCGACAGGTCCTGAGTCTCATGGAGAACCCCCTGCTGCTCGAGCACAAGGACGTTCTCACGAACCAGCTGGGCTACAAGACCGACGTCATTGAGCGTGCCGAGTGGTTGCTGAGCAAGGTCGGCTCTGTGGGCGCCTACAGTGCCAGTGCCGGCGTGCCTGCGATCAAGGAGAGCATCGCCAAGTTCATTGAGCGTGAGTCACAATCGACCCCTCCCTGCACCCTGCCAACAGCAACGTTTCGCCCTAACAATTCTTCTCTAGGTCGCGATGGCTTCCCTGCCGACCCCTCCAAGATCTACCTCTCTGGCGGCGCATCCTCGGGCGTCAACACTCTGCTCAACGTCATCTGCGCCGGCCCCAAGACGGGCGTCCTCGTCCCCATCCCCCAATACCCCCTCTACACCGCCTCTCTCGCCGTCCTCAATGCCACCTGCGTGCCGTACTACCTCGACGAGGCCGCGGGCTGGGGCACCGACCTCGACACGATCCGCACCGCACACGCCAAGGCCAAGGAGGCCGGCACCGACGTCCGCGCCCTCGTCGTCATCAACCCCGGCAACCCCACCGGTGCCTCGCTGCCCGAGGACAACATCCGTGCCATTCTCGACTTTGCGCGCGAGGAGAAGCTTGTCGTGCTCGCCGACGAGGTCTACCAGACCAACGTCTTCGAGGGCCGCTTCTACTCGTTCAAGCAGGTGCTGCGCGCCCTGCAGTCGGAGAACAAGGACGGCAAGTTCGACCACCAGGAGCTCGCGTCCCTGCACTCCGTCTCCAAGGGCATGGTCGGCGAGTGCGGCCACCGCGGCGGCTTCTTTGAGCTCGTCGGCTTCGCCCCCGAGGTCGAGGCCGAGATTTACAAGTTTGTCTCCATCACCCTCTGCGCCCCCGTCGTCGGCCAGTGCATGGTCGAGCTCATGGTCCGGCCCCCCGTCGCCGGCGAGCCCTCGTACGAGCTCTATGACCGCGAGTACAGCCGCATCTTCAACGGCCTGCGCGAGCGCGCCGTCGCCCTCCACAAGGCCTTTTCCGACATGGAGGGCGTCGAGTGCGGCACGCCCCAGGGCAGCATGTACCTCTTCCCCACCATCCGGCTGCCCGCGCGCGCCGCCGAGGCCGCCGCCAAGGAGGGCCGCAAGGCCGACGAGTTCTACTGCCTACGCCTGCTCGAGGCCACGGGCATCTGCGTCGTGCCCGGCAGTGGCTTTGGCCAGAAGGAGGGCACCCTGCACTTCCGCACCACCTTCCTGGCGCCGGGGACCGAATGGGTCGGTCGCATTGTCGACTTTCACAAGAAGTTCATGGACGAGTTTCGTTGAAGTGCATGCATAGACCACAGTGAAGTGCACGCATGATGATCAATGACAGATGCTCGGAAAGATGGTGGAGGAACACTGATGAATCGAAGACACCTTCGTTTTCCTTGGGACACTGAAGATTGCGGCGGAGGAAAAAAAGAAAGAGGCCATGGGGGTTGGTTAGCAGCCATGGCATCCAGAGCGTTGCATAGAGCATTTTTTTGGGTATGCGATTCAACACGTGGTGTGAATGCGTGAAGTGACCGTGACCGTGACCTCTCCACATATCCCATATCACCGCGCAGCCCATCATCTCCATCTGGCTGGTCTATTGTGAGGTATCGCTATCATACAGATAATCGCACACAAACTCATCCCTCTTGCCCCCGCCTGCGACGCCGCTCTTGTCTACGCCCTCTCGCTTCCCCTGAGGCGCACGGCCTGGCCGTACTTTTGCAGCTTCGTGATGAGCTGGTCACCTTGGCGGACGACGTCCTGGTACTGCTTGTTCTTGTCGTCGGGTCGGTTCGTCTCGATGACGCCCTTGCCGGAGACGCGGTCAATCGTGCAGGGGATGCGGCCGGCGGCGATGAAGCGGGCGAGGTCACTGCAAACATGTCAGTCAGTGTGAAATCTCTTGCTGCCTCTTCGGCACGACACTGCCGAGTGTGCCTTGGAGAGGGGAAGGGGGACATACCGATCGAGGAAATCGACGGTGACGCCAAAGTCGGTGGCCATGGTGTCGAGGCCGACGACGCGGTAGCTCTGCAGCAGCTGCTGGTAGGCGCGGAGGCGCATCTCGCGCACGAACCACTGCTTGTGCTCGTGCAGGTAGCGGTCCTGGGCGAGGAAGGACTCCTCGACCTGGGCGAGGGCCTGGAAGAAGAACTTGTAGCTGCCGTTGTACAGGCTCGTGACGAGCTGGGCGAGGGGCGAGAAGTCGATGGCCATCTCGGCTTCGGGCTGCTCGGTGCTGGAGCCGAGTGTCGTCAGGTTGACCGCCGTCTTGGCGCCTTTCTTGACCGAGGTCGAGGCCTCCTCGGCCGAGCTCGAGTCGTCGGCGCCGGGGCCGGCGCTGAGGGCGCCCGAGAGGGCGAGCATCTTGTCCTCGCCGTCGCCGAGGATGGCCTTGATCTCGGGGGCGTCGACGACCTTGCTCTTGAAGTCGACGCGTTTCAGCGAGACGGAACCGGCGAGCACAGAGTAGACGACGAGGGACGAGTACGTGCAGAGCTCGTAGCTGGTGAAGGTGGAGAGGGAGTCGAGGAGGAGGGGCGCCGCGGCAGCGTAAGAGCGGATCGTCAGGAGGTGGAGGCCTTCGTAGGCCTTGAGACGGTTGCGACGATCCCAGTCACCGCCCGACTCAACGAGTGCCTTGGCACGCTCGATGTGCTTCTTCGTCAGGAGCTTGTCGCCGTAGAAGAGGCCCATGCGGACAATGGCGAGGACGAGATCGATTTTGGTGCCGAGGATGCCCGTCTTCTCAAAGACGTCCTCGTATGCCGTGATGGCGCGGTCCTGTGCCACGCATGTTAGCTCGCTCGCAACGTCAACGTGGCAGTCCGAACGGTGCAGGCACCCACCTTGTCGCCAACCCGCGCCCAGAATTCAGCCCTCTTTCCTCGCGCGGCCTGGACCTCGGTGTCGCCAGCCTGCTCCACCGCCTCGTCCTCCTCTTTCTGGATGCCCTCGAGCTCGGCGTCGTTCTCTGATTTTAGCTGCTTGTACAGATCTTCGTCCCACGGCAGGTTGATGGTGGTCTGGCTCTTGGTGGCGATCATGCCGACGAGACTGGACTTGCGGCTGGGGGGCTTGCCAGGAACGGACTGGCTCGACCCCTCGCCGACAGTGTTGAGGATGCCCTCGAGCGGGTGTGCGAGGAATCGGTAGAAGGGCGCCATCTTGTGCTCGGCGATGGCATCTTGGAGGACCTTGACAGCGGCCTGCTGGACTGACTTGGAGGCGTAGGGGTTGGTGAGGGTGAAGACATGCTGGGAGAGAGGGAGGAGCGGCCACTTTGCGTATTGCGGTTCGGAACCCATGGTGGCGGATGTGACGAGTTCCCTGATGCAGATGTGTTGATCGCAAAGGAATGGCAGCAAGAGCTGGGACGGAGATGGTCGTGGGGTGAGGAGTGTGACGTTGGCGGGTTTGATGTTGGAGTTGATGATTGCAGCTTTGGAGAGCTTTCGATCGTCACAGATACACTTCGAAGGTACAAGGTGCCGCTGCCAGTGGTGGGGTGATGTGATTGGACAGCTGCCCTGGTCCTGCTGTAAGGTGTGTGAGGCTCCAGCGCAACACGTACTGCCCATCACCTAGCAGCCTGGCTTGCCTGGGTACCTAGGTACCTAGGTACCTAATGTGGTGTGTGCCTGCCGTAGTTCAAAGGTGCAATTCTACGGTGCACCTCTACAGCAAATCGTGCAGTGGATCCGACTTTCTTCATCCCTGCCTTGCCTGCCTCGTCCGTTTGAAGCTAGTAACAGAGCTCGACCTCGACCCTTCCTTCGGGTCTGCTTCCTACCTGCCTCGTACCTACCCTGAATATTCAATCAAAACACATTGTTACGAACAAGACTTTTACCTCTCCTTTCTGCGTCACTCCAACGCTTCCATCACTAGCAGACTCGCTCGGATCCTTCCCATCATCTCATCATGGCCGACGATCGGTACGGCGACGAGGAAAATCCCCAGCCATACAGCGCCAACAACCTCGACCCCCCCAGAAAGCGAAAGGCAGAGAACACAGAAGAACTTCCGCAACCTTACAACGCGAAGGAGCTCCAGCCCGCTAAACGCCGAGCCATGTCGCCAAACGAGCACCAACCCCGCAAGCAGAAGCGTCCGGGCGCGCGCGCGCGCATCTCCGAAGCCGAGCGAGAGGCCATCCGCCAGCGAGCCCTCGAGAGAGATCGCGCACTTGAAGCTGCCGCCTTGGCTGCACCTCTCGAGCCCCGTCAACGAGGCATCAACGATGTCGTGACGCAGCATTACAACAGCGTCCCCGAACGAGGGCGCGATTGGAGGAGAACCGACAGTAAGATCAAGGGCCTCCGATCTTTCAACAATTGGGTCAAGAGCTGCATCATTCAGAAATTCTCGCCTGACGAGGACTATACTCCTGCGTCACGCGAACAGGGACGCTCGGGCGGCCACGAGCTGCTCGTTCTCGACATTGGGTGCGGCAAGGGCGGCGACTTGGGCAAGTGGCAACAGGCACCTCAGCCCGTGCAGCTCTACGTTGGTCTTGACCCCGCCGATGTCAGTATCGACCAGGCGAGAGAGCGCTATCGTCAGATGAGCAGTCGTGGTGGAGGCGGACGTGGTGGTAGGGGTGGCCACAGGCGGCCCCCTCCCCGCATACAAACGACTGCCAGTTCCATGTCAAAGACTGCTACGGTGAATCCATTGAGGGACATTGACGTCGTCCGGC